AAAAAAATTGCCAGAGGGCCCTCAGCCACCTGGGTTTTTCACAGCCTCCCACAGCAGTCTTTTGGCACTTAATCATAGCACAAGCCAGTGTGTCTTGTTATTGTACCTTGCCTGCTCAATTGTTATTCCACCCATGGAGGCAGTGCCTTGCCCTTATTCTTACTCCCCCAGCCTTCCCCAGACCTGCAAGGACATAGTAGTTACTGATGAACCTCATTAAGTCCCTAATTCTGCACCTGGCCCTTGTCATAGCGGAATGTGAGTGAATGAAACTATGACCTCTCACCCTCCCGAGTATATTTCAGAAAAGACAATAGAGACTACGATTTAAGGTATGTGCTCAGTGGTGTAAGGACTTTTTAGTGGAAAATTTGAAATGGATATAACTAAGCTAAATTCTGTTTCTACATGTTTCCTTCAAGTTTCCCTTGGAAAGGGCTGATTTCCAGATTCAAAGGGTATTTTTCTAACTGGCTCTGCCCCTCCTGCCACAGCCTGCAGTGTACATCAGAATAAGGAACCGAGCCCAGAATGGGTACCTAACAGTCACCGGAAACGTGGCCGACACGAGGGCAACCTCTGTGTGCATCTCTCCCTACAGCGGGAAGAATACTCAGATCTGGCACTACTGCCGAGGGCTCTTTAAATCCAAGGTAACCAGCCCCACCAATCGTATAGCCTGCTTGTTGACCTTTGGTCGTTTAGAAACCAGGATTGTCCCAAATCAAATGGCATGATGCAATTAATGCAACTTCCTATGAATAGTTTGCTGCATGATTATAAAAACATTGACATATATTACTGAAGCATTGAAGTGAAATGGATTTACAAACTAGACTTTCTCTAGCAAAAAATTCTGTTTTAAAGTAAAAAGACTAATACATACTAATTGTTTTAAAACAAGTGATAAGTCATTGCAGCCAAATGGATGGTGTGCTTTTCTGAGATGCTTCTTACACTCTGTGGCCCGGATCAATTGAGCTGTCTTTGTGATTCCAAACACGTTGAATTGAACCTTTCTCATCTTCAAAACAGGCTCCCCTGGTAGCCCAGCTGGTAAAGAATCTGCCTGCAATGCAGGAGACGTAGGTTCTATCTTTGGGTTGGGAAAATCCCCTGGAGGAGGGCATGGCAACCCACTCCAGTGTTCTTGCCTGGAGAATCCCCATGGACAGAGGAGCCTGGCGGACTACAGTCCATGGGGTTAAAAAGAGCTGGACATGACTGAGCAACTAAGCACGTCTTCGGAACAGACAATGAAGGTAGAAGAAAGCTGCTGCTTTTGGAGGAAGTTTAAAAAATAGAATTCAGGTTTCTTTGGTTTTCTGCACCCGTTCTATTATGTTTGATGGTATGGGGAATAAGACACCAGTTTTATTAAATCACCAGTGGACTAGCGACGTCTTTCTCATGCTTCAACAGAGATGAAAAGCACTTAAATGTAATTATTGTCTGGGTATCCAGCACATCAACCAATGTTTTTATAAGAAAAATAAGCTCGACCTTATATATTTAAGCTAACACGGACTCAGTGTTTAATTCTAATTCAGCAAATCTTTATTTAACCATCTGTTGTCAGATCTGGATGTTCTTTTAAAAACAAATAGCTCAGGCGTCCCTGGTGGCTCAATCCAGCCCACCTGCAATGCAAAAGTGAACGTGAAAGTCGCTCAGTCATGTCCAACTCTTTGCAACCCCATGGACTATACACATAGAGGCCAGGGAATTCTCCAGGCCAGAATACTGGAGTGGGTAGCCTTTCCCTTCTCCAGGGGATCTTCCCAACCCAGGAATTGAACCCGGGTCTCCCACACTGCAGGCAGATTCACCAGCTAAGCCACAAAGAAAGCCCGAGAATACTGCAGTGGGTAGCCTATCCCTTCTCCAGGGGATCTTCCCACCCCAGGAATCGAACCAGGGTCTCCTGCATTGCAGGCCGATTCTTTACCAACTGAGCTATGAGGGAAGCAATGCAGAAGACCCAGGTTTGATTCCTGGGTCAGGAAGATCCCCTGGAGAAAATGGCAACCCATTCCAGTATTCTTGCCTGGGTGGGAAATCCCGTGGACAGAGGATCCTAGTGGGCTACAGACAGGTGGGATTCCAAGATGTTGGACACGACTTAAAGACTGAACCACCACCATACTGAGACTTACATGATTTCTAAAATGATATGTGCTTTTCTGACACTCATCTGTACCATGGAAAATTATGATTCCTTCCAACCACAGCAGTTTGAGATTCAAGGGATCACAGGAAAAAAAAAAAAAGTACCTCTAGTTCAGTAGGTTTATTTCCATACTTTCACCTTCCCTCAGCCATAACAACTGAGAAAGTGGACTGAGATTATAATTTTAGATTTAGTTTTAGATCTTGTTTTCTTTTTAGATGGGCTTGTCTGATTTACTCACATGAAAGAAAAAGGACTCAGTCCAGCTGCTTTGAGCACATGCGGTACTGCCGATGTATTTCTTGACCTTTCAGGCCAGTGACACGTGTCTGGATGTCATCGGTGGTCGAGACACACCAGGAGCTAAAGTCGCCCTCTGGACGGAACACGGGCAGTTCAGGCAGAAGTGGAGACTGAACAGAAACGGGACCATCAGCTCCTACCTCAGTGATCAGCTGGTCCTTGATGTTAAAGGTAGGCCTATGACCAAAGCCAGTGTGTTGTGTCCTTGGATATTCATTTTGAATTCCAAACCCCCACCTCCTCCTGGGTGAAAGAAGCCCTTATGTATAAGGGAAATATTAAGTCGTTTTTAATTATACTTTAAAAAGCTGATATGCCATTTTAACAAACAACAAGCAAAACAATTAGCTATAGGTGGATCAAAAGCCTAAGGACCAAGCCTATGAAGGTGTTTACCAGTACAGTGGTAAAATTTTCATTTGCTATGTGATCTTTGAGAACATTTCGAAATTTGAAGTATCACCAACCGTAACATGTCATCCGGTCCCTAAAGAAACATCTCTGACTTTCTGTTCTGAATTGTGTGGTTCTTCAAATTTATAGTGGGTATCACTTAAACTCACTTTTGAATGCAACAAGGTCAGGGCCAGTATTATTCAGCGCTGGTGCTTTAGTTGGGTTAGTCACCGCCACTCTTGGTGTAGAAACGAACATGCAGTGTGACAGAGGTGAACGCTCAGAGCACTGTGTGCTTAGGCATCCCACTGCTGAGCACATCATTCACACATCTCCATGTTACACTGCTTAGCTCTTCAGTCCCTCCTGTGAGGTCCGGGTTGAGGTGAACGGCTACACCGCTTTAACCTCAGCTTCCCACTCAGACCATCGCTTTTATAAAGACATACGAATCTACCCCACCAGCAAGTGGGCTGAATGAAAGCCTTCTGACAGTTGTGAAATTGTTAAGCACCTGTGTGAACAAATTAATCTTTCCTTTTGGAATTGCTATTTTAGGAGGAAATTATTATGACAAAACTCACGTAATTGTAAACCAGCCCCTGGAGGGAGAAGAAACACAGAAATGGGACATTGAAATACTGTGAGAGTCCGCAGGTCCCTGGAAGCACGGAGGCAGAAGGGGCCTGCCCGTCCTAGGCTCTGGGGCCACCGAGCGGAACGGACTTCTCCCCCAGCCGTGCAGACTGTTGCTCTTCACCATGAAGAGCTCAAAATATGCTTGCCAGCTATTCAGCGTTCCTGTGAAGAATGCGTTATGATCTCTGGAAGGTTCTACTCCCGCGTGATCTCCAGCTTCGGTGAGCAGGTTTTTTGAAGTCTGTTTTCTCTCCTTTCTACCAAACACAAATCCTATTCCCGACAGTTACAGGACACTGCTGACGCTATCACCCTGTATTAGCGATTAACAACTAAGTGTGTGGTTGACTGCCAGGCACAGTCCTACAGGCGAAGTCCTACAGGTCAAGTCATACTTGTAAGAAGATGAATACTTTTGTCGCAATATCTGAAAACATATTTAGTAAACCTTACTATTAAGCTACTGTATTAGATACACATTAGAAGTTCTCTCTTGAAGCTTCTATATAAAGTACCATAAGTTTTCACACTTGTAACTCACCCCAGGAAGGGACCTCAGCAAGTACAGGAGTCTTTACTGTTGCCTGATCCTTTAAAAATGCACAAATAGCCTGTGGCTGTCCTTTCTCTCTTGGATGACAACACTAACTATGTGCTGATCTCACCTGATCTACCCTCAAGTGTTTATAAGGAAGGACTCTGTCACCTGCGTATAATAAATTTTCCTTTGCCTAAAGTAAAGGGAAATTTTAAGTTAAAACCAAGTAGTATTTCAGCCTTGACTATACCATTTTCCTTTACAAAATGTGACAAGAAACTCAGTTTTTCACTTCCATTTTAAATAGCTTTCATTCAAGCAAAATCAGGTAGGATATTGTCTTAGACTTAAGTCTCAAGTAAGCATTACCACCATCACTATAGAATTCTCAAGCATTTTTCCCTCCTAAGTTGGTTTTAAACTTACACTGAGATAACTGTTCTCTTCATCCCCAACTTTTGCCAGTAAAGCTGGAAAATGTCTGCTCTATTTTTCTATAGAAAGATTAAATTTTCCAGTGATATTTTTAAAAATATCAATCTATATGCACTTTAGAATGTAAAGTAACAGTGAACTGTTTAAACTCAAAGACCCACTATTTTGACTATTTTTTATAGCGACTTGGTCTTTCCATGTAAATATTATTGGGGATTTTTCTTCCTTCAATCTCAGGCTCTTTCGTAATCTTTCAAGACAACACCTATAAAACTCCCTTACCCATAGATGTGAGTGCCTCTTATTAAATGTGGCAGTATTATTTAATGAAATTTGTTTTAGGGTAACTTTATTTTAATGGCGGGGGGCTTGTGTATACACAAAGGTATGGTATGTATATTTTCACTGTAAAAAACCAAGTTAAAAAATTTTCTTCATGTTAATTGTTTAAAATTTTTCTAGAGCCAGTGAGGCTCTTTAAAGAAGTTATTTCTTCCAAAGAATACCAGGTAATGACAGTTAAATTTAAATGATACCTTTATTGGAGCTGTGCCTTTTCTACCACACTGGATTAAATAAACTTGTTGAAATATGGCTTTTGTCACTTTCTGGGACATTGAGTAATTTGCTCTTCTTCTATGTACATCTATTAGTACATATGGCCAACTGATCACCTGTAAGAGGTAGATCTCATTTTATTAACTACACAGGTAAGGAAAGTTACATTCATCGTGTCCTTGGCTCAAAGCAACAGGAGTCCCCAGCACACAAATCTCTGCAGAATCAAGTGTCTAGTATTTTACAAATACATATTACTACTGAAGCAGCAAAGGCACTAGACTACTTGGATTAAACATTCTGTCCAGAGGGATAATACCAGGTTTTGCTTTTCCTCATCTGTAGTCAGCTTCAGGTCCTTGACAGAAATAGCTGAACTGGTCCAAAGTTGCTTTAGTGCATCCATATGTGATAGAGGAAAGCGAAGTCCATGAGGCTGAAAAAAGATGAACCAGTCATTTAAGTGCCATTTCCATAATTCTCAATGCATCATTACTGAGATCCTTTGTAAGAATGAAACTTGTTACAGGTAACCTATTTACAAAAACTACAAACTGTAATTAGATAACTTATAAAAGGCAATGATTCCCTTGTGAAAACTCAGACTTCATGCAAGGCCTATTAGTCACTTGGGGCCTCCCCGGCAGCCCAGTGGTTAAGACTCCACCTTCCAATGCAGGGGCCACAGGCTGGATCTTTGGTCAGGGAACTAAGATACTATAGGCCGTCGGGTGTGGCCCAAATTTTTTTTAGAAAGTTGCAGAGAAACAGTCCCTACTGGCCAAATCAAAATACATTAGAATAAAAAGTCTTAAAAGAAATACTAGTCATTTGAAATGCTGCTTATTTGTTACTTTACACCTCCCCTGCAAGGCCACAGGTGCCACGCGAGTGTCTTTTAAAGTGGGTAGGTGTTTATATATTACAGAAATGTCTGCCTTAACTATCCCTGTGAAGGGCTGTCAACTTGTGAAATGTTAAGTCCACACTGCAGTCACAGAAAAGCCCATTACCCATACTCAGAGGTAACAGAGTCCTCCCTCCAAGCACCAACCACAGCAAAGACGTGCATTTTGGGCTGGAACAAACCTCTGTTTCCTCATGTCCCATCATGTGTGTCTCTCTCCTGTTCTTTAAGGAATGATAGACATAAACCATCTTCTCTCGCGTTTCATCCTTCAAAAAACGAAAAAAGCTGTCAACAACAAAATACTGACCACTGGGATGCTAGGAGGCTTTTCCAGTAATATAGGGCAATACCAAGAAAAATCTCAATGCCTCAGTGCTTAAGTGAAATTTATTGAATACTAAAGAATCTTCCTGGCAAAAAGTTGAGATGTAAACATGCAGATGCATAAATACAATGTACAATGAATGTATTTTTTTATAGTTCTCATAGATTACTATCTGTATGTAGCAAATAAGCACTTGTAAGTAATTTTTTCAAAAGATAACAGCCCCTTCAGAAACTTTAATTGAAAAAACCATTTCTATTTCAACTTACCAATGAAACATTCAAGTTTCTTCATTTAACCATACCTGCACTCTTTGTGCATCAGAAAAAATTTAATATTCTTAGGTATACATAAATTTTCAATTTATGAACACCAGAGTAAATATTAATTCTAAATATCAGCCATGTGATCTATAAAAACCTTCCTTCCACTTATCGTAGGCTTCCCCTCCCTCTGTATCCACCCTACACAGGGAAGTTTACTGTCTCTTCCAGCACCTTGGGTCATTCCTTGTCACCTCTTAGATGAGGATCAAACACTGACCCAAAATAAATGCCTCAAACTAACTGATTATCAGAATAACTAGTTTTTTTTTTTTTAATGAGGCTGTGGGAGTATATAATCTCAAGGTTTCCATGTATGTTATATATTAAGTTTTCATGGGGTTTGGCCCTGATGGCTAGAACAGTCTGGTTATGGAGACATCCAGGTGCCCCTGACTCCCAACCTCACTAGTCATTCATGGGCCCCTCCCAAGAAAGCTGAGCAGGAGGACCAGGGTGAAGCCAGCCGGTGTGGGAGAACTCCCAAGGGTTTTAGGGTTGTGAGGGGCACTTTAATAAAGGCAGAAGTCCCACCCCAGAGCAAGACCAGAAACCTATACTGAAAATTTGGCAAAGGCAACCTAGCCCTAATTAGGAGGCAGAAACCAGACACTAATCACTAGGGGAAGAAGCAGAGTTCTGTGGGGCTACGGACAAACCCTCAAATGCCCAACGGGCAGGAAACTTTGGAACCAGAGCAGTGAGATCTGGGTATAATCTGATCTAGAGCGATGGGACCAAACTGTGAGGAGGAAGATTCCCAGAGGAGGCGGGCAGGGCCACCTGTCAGCCTGATAACCTGAGGCCTGCGACAGAAATGCCTTGAGTAGAACCCTCTTCCCTTCTGGATACTCACAGATGGGTCCTGATCGGGTCCTACGGTAAGGACCGCGTGGTCTCTAAACTGCAGTCTCACTGTGCTGTTCAAGCCCGGGAACTGTCCACCTAGGAAACCCAGAGAGAAAGCAGGCTCAAACTTGTTTTGAGGAGCGACTGTTTGGGAAAATTAGTTAACAACGTGCAGGTGAATCCAAACACGGGGCATCTGCTCCAACTCCAACGGTTCACAGTGATGTTAAAAATACCGCTTACATACTAGTGGACCACATTCTTACACTGAAGACAGATGTCAATCAGATAAATAACAATAGACGTTTGTAAGTTCATCAAAAGGCCGTCACCGGTACCTGGGGAGCACACACTATCACAGTACAGACTGGGCCACCCGCCTTCTGCGCAGAATGCTCTCACTGCTCCAGCTTCTATCCCTGACCTGCTCCGCATGTGTACTCTGAAAGGACTTCCTGAGCTCCAAGCACACCATCCCTCCAATGACCAAGGCGAATTATTCAGTCTAGGTAGGTCAAGCGCTACATCATTAAAAAAAAAAAGCCACCTAATAAAGTGCACAGAAACAACTCTCTTTCCTAGATTGGATTTAACTTAATAAAAAACCAGCCACTACAGACAGACCAGCCTGACAAGGGGATCTGGTTGGAGACAGAGGTGAGGGAACTTAATATTGACAGTAAGGGCTAAGATAGGGAAAACTTCAGATGAAATATCCTGGGACATAAGCTGATACTCAGAACTGAACTGTTCTGCTAAAGATTAAACTATGTGCTGGGAAAATTGCTGTTTTGAGTAGATGCATCAAAAACATTCTAAACTCCTCCCCACCTCAGACTACAATAAAAATGTACATAGAGTGAATGTTAGAAGGGACCTTGTAGATTGTGTGTCTCACTGGTCCTCCATGAGCGATGGATTAGGCTTTTAGAAAAGTTGAGTGACCACACGTGCCCCTCTCCTGGCTGGCCTGAGGGCCTGCTGCTTTACCAGCGGTCACTCCATCCTCACTTCACTCCTCCTGCTACCAACCACAACTAGGATTTACAGGAGACCCAATCCGAGAATCTCTATTTCCCAACAGCATCCAACCCAGAGCAAAGCCCGACTTCCTAAACCCTCCTGAAATCACCTAACTCAAACCCAAATCCTAGGAATCCTTTCCTGCACTCCTTTTACTGATATGTCTGCAGTCCCCAGCAGCGTGCTATCTCCCCTGTTACAAGTCAATAAACCCAGCTCTGACCAACTACAGGAGCATGCTGCAGCCTGAGCCCCAGAACACTGGTATCACCATCCACCCAGACGTCTATCCACATCATCTGTAACTTAAACCTGTCACAGGTAGTCACCTGGGACTTGGGGAAGGTCTGTGATGAGCCTGCGAATTCTTATAGTTCACCTGCTGATGGCAGCGTTTTACCCATCCCTGAGCTCGTTTTCAACAAGATTATTGCAGTGTTCAAGTTCTTGAAACTTCCTGCAGATGATGAATTGCAGAGGGGCCATAAATACATACTCCTCACCCCAAACCACAGGGTTCTCATTCCCCATCAAGCAGCGTGTCCTGTCCAACCTTAACACACTTAAGGACAGGCTCACGTTCACCCTGAAATGCTTCATACTTCCCACCAACTCAAAGAAGTGCACACCCAGAAAAGCATCAAAATATCCCACATTAGCCCCTGACCCCCCAGAAGAGAAAGCAAGCTCCACCTGGTGCCGTAAGCTCTGCTCCGTCCCCCGTACAGTAAGGTGGGAGTCTGTTCGCAGCAAAATCCTTCTTCATGTCTGCTGAAGGCAGTTCTTTGGTGCCCTCCAGCCGGTCTGCAAGCATCCTCAGAAAGCCACTTAATCTTCTTGTTGCAACAGCTGTGGTTTCCACCTGCTGGAAACACAAAAGTGAGTCCTGGCCCAGACTCCAGCCACCTTCCCGCCCAGGCCCCATCTCCAGAGGGGTGCAGCGGGCGCCACCCCCGGACAGACATGGGTCCACACCACTCCCGTAAGGGCAGCAGCCCTTTATGTCCTCTTAACCACCGCTCCCTGTAGCTGCCTACCATTTGCAAAAAAAAAAGATCAATTTTTAGCATTTTCCCTAGAAAGAGGGCTCCCTGGGAATATGGTGCAGTCTTGGCCTTGCCTTTTGAAGAAAAAAAATCACTGTCTTGAAGTGACTGCTTCAGACCATGAAGGCACCTTTGCTCACCTCAGCCCTAATGCATCCATCATCTCAAAACCTGCCAACAGGGTAAAATCAGGGTGGACAGGAAAGCCAGGGAGCACACGGAGGCCAGGCTCTTGTTGGTCTCTCCTAACCTGGGATCGCACATGTGCTGAGGCTATAGTTCCTGAGCCACATGAGTTATTCAGCCACCTATTCACTCAGCGCTCCCAGGGCCTGCTGCTGCCAGCCTGAAATACAGGAAGTGGGCCATCTGCATACCACCGCTGGTCCAAGTAATGTGCAGCACCCCGTTCGTTTGCAAACCACCCAGCCCAGCAGGAGACAAGCTTGGCTCATGTGGGGAGAAGGGTTCTGGGGTCCTGGGCGGGAGCCACAGCTGCCCCTCCCTCCCCACCTGCCCTCGCTCCTTACCAGGAGCAGCTGCCGGGGGATGCCAGCCCGGAGTGCCACGTCTGCCTTGGCAGTGTCAAACACGAGCCCCGAGATGGTGTCCAAAAGGAAATCTCCCCAAGAACTGGAACACATGCCAAGTTTAAAAAAAAAAGAGAAAAAACAAAACAATGAAATCATAAATGTGAATGAAACACTGATTATAAAAGCTTCAAGCTACAAACCACCACACCAATCCCCCTGCCCTGACATCTTGAGTTCCAATAATTTCACATCACTCAGCATAAAAACTTAGGAGCATCATCCATCACAGGCTTCCCTTTCCCCCACCTCAGACACTCACATGCAAAGTTAAAGGTGGGAAGCTAGGCTCTATTCATGATTTATCTTAAATATAAAGATATCAGAATTAATTACAGACTGTCATAAAGTAGGAAGTTCAAAGGAACAATTTTTTTTTAAATGTTTTCAGCTACATAACTGCCTTGAGAGTTTTGCAGAAAAGTAACTCTCAATCATTAGAGGACCTAAAAAAATGTGTATGTGCAAAAAATCCAAAAAGCAATATATGTAGGGAAACAGCAAGATCCTGGACTGTGCAATTATCTCAACAGTTAAACATGACATTTTCCTTTGTTTCTAAAAACAGAAAAAGAGGGGCACTGTTCTCAGTAAAGTATCCAACATCAACAATTTCAAAACGGTTTACTCTGCAACTTGTTAAACTCTAATGATGGTTTTATTGGGGTAGAAGAGAGAAGCCCGACGCCAAAAATGCCATTCAGGACCAGCGTCGGTGTTCAGCTTCGTCTGCTTTTCCTCCGGGGCCTTCAGAATCGCTCACTCCTAAATGCGTGTCAGTGTAAGACGCACACGCTGTGGGGATGCTCTCTCTATAAACATTTCTGAGCTGCTCAAAATTTCCCTCTGTCACCAGCAGGTTTCAAATTGCCGGCTACATGCAAAATGAAAATTCACAGTATGACTTTTGCCTCTCACTCTGTAAGCAAAATTGACACTTTTGTGCTTACCTCCTGGAAGTGGCAAAGGAGGACAAGAGCCACGTGACAGACACTTCCCCCCAGGCATCCACCCCCACCTGGTGGCCTCACCGGTTTCTGACAAAATGCTACACCCAACCTCACACCTTTGAACACAGACCTGGAGGACACACGCAGACCTCACAGCAGCGTGAAATAGTATCGTCCTTCGAGGGGTCCCAGGTACAAGTCCCACAGCATTAGCTCACGGAGTTAAAGAGCAGCTATGACACTGAGCTCCGCGCTCTTCTAGGAGACTGGATCTTGGGCTGCAGTTTAGAAACAACACCTCTGGAGGGGTTCACCTTCCTAAATCGGTGAGATCGACATGCCACGATCTGGGAGAGCAGGCCCTAAATGCCACGCTTGAGAAGGCTTAGGGAAAGGCCGAATCTTCACCCTGCCATAGCACAGGACATCCTCGCGTCACACTGTCCTGTTCTGGCAGCGGCCCCACCGACGGGCACGAGTCGGCATCACCGTGCCCGCCCTCAGCCGGCAGGCATCCTAAGTCAGGCAGCTCTTCCAGCCCTGCCGACTGCAGGAGGGGTGGTGGGACCAGGGAAAGGTACCAGATCTTCACCCCTGGGACTGGGAAATAGTCACCTGGTGGTAGCAAAAGCTCACGGGGTCAAGGAGATGGAGGGAGTCAGAGAAGGAACTAACGAGCCTCGTGACATGCCAGTGTTGTGAGTAAATCAGGAACTGAGGAAGGAAGATGGGGGAGTGAAAACCAAGGGAGCCAGAAAACCAGCTGATGGCTGCAAGAAAAATGAAAGAGGAAGAACTAGGGAAAGACGCAGCAGCTGAGTGACCGACGACAGGACACCAGAGGACGGACGCTCCCGGGGCCCAGAGCTGCCGCGGTCCGGAACGGGCTTCTGCTGCGGCCTCCCCGCGGCCCGGCTCCCGCTGCCGGCTCCCCCAGTCGCCCTCGGAAACCTCGCTCTGCATGGGGCCCAACCGTGGTGAGAAGGCGTTTTACACGAGAGAACCGTAAAACAGGCTCTGCCTTCTGGCCAGACCCCCGCTGATTTCCTCTTGCCCCTTAAACACCGCGGCTCACTTCCTGCTGCAAAGCCAGAAGAGGAGGCGGAAGAATGCTTGCTCCCTTGCTGTCCAAGATACAGCTCCCGGCTAGGAGGACCCCGTTCCTCAGGCCTGGAATGTCCGGTCCCACGGCCACTGACTCATCCCCTCGGCTCCCTCAGTTTGGGGGTCAAGTCCGTGCTGAAGCCTCCGGGATGCCCCAGCCTAGCTAACCGCACCCCTCTGCTCCCAGGGACTCCTCCGCAAAGCTCTGATGGGACATGTCACGCTGTCTGGGAATACACACGTCTCCCCTCCTTCCACCGTGACCGGAGTAGAAGTCCTCCCAAAGCCCCTTCGGCCCTGCGCCTACCATCCCTGCAGCCACGACAAGGCCCAGGGCTCCTGTGGATAAGCCAGTGATGGGCGCTTTTAACGGGACCGGACTAGCCAGGCCGCTGCCACCGGGAAACCCCGGGCAGGGCCGCTGCCCGGCTCCTGTCATTGACAAGGCGCTCGCTGAACTGGAAGGTGGTTTTAATTGGAACTGTTTTCAGCACATGTGCTTCTAGGACTCACTGTTCCAGACATCCTTTCCGACTTTAATGAACTGTAAAACCTGGAAACCTTACGGAGACCCAGAGGTTTCCGAGCCGCAGAGTTTCCGTTCGGGGTGATGACAATGTTTCGGAAACGGACAGTGGGGATGGCTGCACAACACTGTGAATGCAATTAGCGTCACTGAGCTGGACACTTAAAAATGGTTAAAATGGTCTATGAATTTTTTTGCCACAATAAAAAACCTTTTTTAATGGAGACAGTGAGTGGGTGGGGGTGGGAGCCTGGAGTCCCAGACACACCGCCACGCCCCAGCCGGGCCTGTCTTCCCGATCCCGGCAGCCTGGATGTGGGCAAGTCCCAGTGATCCGGGTGAGACGGGGTCACGACGGCCCAGGAGGGGACCCAGGAGGACACGGCAGGACTAGGAAGCCAGCGGGGATGGGGACGCGAGGTCAGAGGCCAGGGCTTACCTGCTCTGGTAGGTGCTGATGGTCACGTGCGTGGAGTGGGCCAGCCCCTCGGGAGTGGCCGCCTGATGGATGGTCCCTCTGGGAAAGTACAGCAAGTCTCCCGGCTACACGAGGACAAGGGGGAAGCGGTCAGTGGGGGCGTGCCTTCTTGGTCCTCTGTAGAGGCTGTGAGTTTCAGTTCTGCGTTCTAGAAACCTCTGAGTGGCGAGCAGGCAGTGGTCTGCATGCTGGGCTCTGTGGGGTCCACTGGTCAAGCTCTGCTGTGGCTGTGAGCCTGTCCCCAGGAACCCAATCCTGCAGAGGCTTCCGGCGCTTGAAGCCACTTTCTTTGTTTGTAACCTGAGGACAGACACCCCTAAAACTAGCCCGGGATCAAGGTGAGAGCCTGCACCCGCCCTCCACACCCTTCAAAGGGCGTGGTGAGGAGGGACAGCTCTGGGGCTCGCTGGCTGGGGACCCCCCGAGGCCTCAGTTCCTTTATGTGTAAAAGGGAAGCAACTGCCCCACATCTCACAGGATTACCGGAGCACTAAGGAGACGACAGAGCCACAGCTCTTGGAGCAAGGCTGGGCACGTGGCTGTATTATCATTTTTATTTTACCCGCTGACCCATACAGTCTGTGCGGTCTCCCAAGCAGGGCCCACATCCATCCTGTATCCCAGGGCCTAATCCACCTAAGCTTCTGGCACACACGGGCTCAACAGATGTTCGGAAGAAGGGATGAAAACCCTGTGGCCCTGCATCTGAGAAGGAACACTAGACGTAACTACAGACCAGTCACTGCCTCGGGCAGGCGAGCCTCCCCCACCCTGTCCCGATTTCAAGCCGGTCAAGAGAAGTATTTCCCCCAAATCACTCCGGCCCTGGAGCCACCTCCTGCCTGATCCCACCCAGACAGAGAACATTCTGTACAGCAGAAAGGAGAAGAGAGGGGGGCCTGGGAGTCACCTGTCTCCTCTCTGCAAACCAGGAAGTAGCCTGGCTCCCTGGCTATGACCATGGGCCCTGGAGGAAGAGTTCAAGAAGCATCATGAGAGAGATTTTTATTTTAATGCTAAGGTTTGCCTTAAAGCAATAAACAATATACAATTATGATGTATTCATAGGAGCTATCTTGCCCTGAATAACACCAGCCTGACAAAGGAACTAGTCCTTCAAGTCAATCAATGCATCGCTCATAATTATAGCTCTCATCTGTGAGTCTGAGTGCCTGCCCTGTGACAGAGGCCCTCACATATACAGCTCATCCATCTGTTTGTTTATGCATCCCACGAACACCTGACCAACCCTTCCCCACTCACCCTGCCCACACCGGACACCAGGCTAGGCGCCAGGGAGAGAGCACTGAACCAAAGAAAGCCCTGCCCTGACGGAACATGCTCCAGAGAAACCGACAAGCATTTGAGAAGGCAGGAGAGACACCGGCAGTGAAGATATTCCAGTGGGGGCAAGAGGGGTAACAGAAAGCAGGCTGCAGATAGACAATGTCGGAGTGGTGGTGAATGCAAAGAAGACATTGAGGCGAATGATGCTGATGTAAGTCAGGGTGGGTGTGTCTGGGGTAAGAGGTGCCATTTTAGCCTCTCTGCTCACGTGACGCTTCAGGAGAGGCTTCAGGAAAAATGAGCAAGCCAGATAGTGAGGAATCTGCCCACAATGCGAGAGACCTGGGTTCAATCCCTGGGTTGGGAAGATCCCCTGGAGGTGGGCATGGCAATCCACTCCAGAAATCTCACCTGAGGAGCCTGGCAGGCAAAGAGTCGGACACGGCTGACTGACTAAGCACAGCACAGCCATGCAGTGTCCTGGGGAGAAAGGCTTCCCGGGGAGGCAAGAGCAGGTGCAAAGGTCCTGCAGCCGGAACGTGCCTGGCAGGCTGAGGGGCACCGGTGTGGCAGGAAGGCAGGGAGTGGAGGTGCAGGTGATGGAAGGTGATGTGGGCAGGCAGCAGAGGGGTCGGATTACAGGGCCCTCGGGACCAGTTCAAGGACTTTGGCTTTTTTCCTGGGTTTAACAAAGTCACTGGAGGTCTGGGCAAAGGGTTCACAGGATCCCAGAAGGATCAGCATGGCTGTTATGTCAGAAAAGTCTGCAAGAGGAATATGAGATAGGAGGCTTTTGTATAAATCTGTGTCCAAGGATTTTGCCCCGAACAAGCAGAATGGGGACACATGTGCAGGGAGGAGCCTGGGAACACGGCAGGACATGAGACTTTGCTTTGGGGAAAACTGAATCTGCTGTATCTTTTATCTTTCCAGGGGGAGACATTAAGTAAGTAGCTGAATTAGGAGTCCAGAGTTTAGACGTGGGCTAGAGAGCTAATACAGCATTGAAAACACATCGGTGTGGAAGGTACTTGAAACCTTGGGAAGGGAATGCTCATTGAAAGAAGTCCAGGAAACAAGCCCTGGACCCCAGCTTACACAGGCAGGAAGACTGAGGACATAACAGCAGAAGAGAATGAACAAGACAGTCAGGTGGAGAGAGAACCAAGGGACAACCACATCCTGGAAGCCACTGGAGCAGGTGGCAGTGACGACGGAGCCAGTACTGATGACACGCAGGCTGAGGTGGGGACCAGGAGCTGACCGCAGTAGCTAACAATTTGGAGGTGACCTTTAGAGTGGTTCCAGGGGAACAATGGCCAAGAAAGCCTGCTGGAAAGGGTTCCCAAGAGTGGGAGAGAAGAGGAAATAAAGACAAGACACGGTGGCTGGGTCCCCAAGAATGTCTACACCCTAACCTCTGGCATCTCTGAAGATTTAGGTTACATGGCCAGGGTTAATTAAGGCTGCTGACGGGGGGAACTGTTCTGAATTAGCCAGGCAGGCCCAATGTAATCACAAGTGGAAGAGGGTATTGGAAGAGAGGACCAGAGAGGGCAGTATGAGACAGACCAAGCTCCATGATGCATGGAAGGGGCCATGAGCCGAGGAATATGAACTACCTCCAGAGGCTGCAAAGGCAAGGACAGAATTCTTCCCGAGAGCCTCCAGAACACAGTCCTGCTGACACCTTGATTTCAGCCACTGAAAACCCTCGGGGACCTCTGAACCACAGAACCAGAATAAAGTTGGTGGTGGTCTTTCAAGTCACTGAGTCTGTGCTAATTTGATAGGCAGCAATATACTGACATACAGCCATTGCTTTCAAGCAATTTAACTGTAAAAGAAGCATCAAAGTAGTATTTTAAAATATTCACAACCTATAAGATAAACATAATGATCTCCATTTTAATTAAAAAAAAGACACAGAGACCAAGATCTTGCCCAAGGACATGCAGCTCATAAGTGACGGCAGCTGAATTCAAACCCAGGTTTGTCAGATCCCCAAGCCACATTCCATTATGGGGGGTTTTTCACCCCAAGACCCCAGGTTGGGCAGAAGTACCATGCAGACTGCCACTCCGGCAGGAAGGAAGAGGGTGAGGAGGGCTCCGGGCCTCTCATGGTAGCCCCCCAAGCCCACCCCCTCCCAGGGCGACTCTGCTCTTCAATTTCACATACTGGGCATTTACACAAGATTCCACTGGAAGAGTTAGTTCCATGGATTAAAAACTCGACATACAACCTGAGAATCTCTGCAGGACACAATGCTACCTTCCTCCTTTCAGAAGACCCAGGGCTTCTCCCTGTGAGCTGTGATCCGGATGGGTGTGAACATGGGCACGGCTCCACCTTCAAGTCCCACGCCCTCGATGACCACCATGGAGCCCGACCTTCCCGGCAGGGCAAGTAGCCAGATGTCGGTCTGAGTCACTCAGCCCTGGCCTCAGAGACCATGGATGGCTTAGTCTTGGCTTAAAAATAACTGGCCAAGCGCAGGGCTGACAGACTCTTTCTGTGAAGGGTCAGAGAGTAAATATCTGTGGTTCGTGGGCCGCACGGTCCCTGTGGCAACTAGTTGACTCTGCCAGTATAATATGAATGTGGCCACAGGAATGGTTGTGGCTCTGTTCCCATACACTTTGTGTACAAAAGCAGGCAGCAGGCTCAATGTTTGGCCCGTGGGCCATACTTTGCTAACTGCTGACCAAGAGCACAAAACAATGAAGAAGGATACCTTTATTGTTGTCTTTATTCAAGCCCCCTATCGCATAACAGCAGGAACAAGAGGGCGGAGCAGAAGGACATGTGCTCCTCTCTCTGCTGCGAGAACCCCCAAATCACAGCTAGCTGCTGAACAAGCATCAACAGGAGCATGTTGGAAGCCACTAGAAAAAGATGTCCCAGGTGCAAGGGCAAAGGAGAAGCTGCAATAAGACGGCAGGAGAGGCGTAATCACGTTTAAAATCAAACTTCATTCCTGCCAGAGATGCTTGGAGGGCACAAATAAAACCCTGTGTGCACCAGGACCCAGGGAAAGGAGCAATGACCCTTAAGAGACAGAACCAGACCTGCCTTTGAGTGTCTGCAGGTCTCCTGCAGAGGCATGGGCCAGCGGTGGCCTGCGCGGGAACAGGGGTTCCAGCTGCAGCAGACCTGGGAGGCACCACATGTGGCCTGAGTCCTCTTGGATGAGGCTGCCATTAGCCCCACCACAGAGCCGCCGGGTGGGCAATCCATAAGCTGGAGAAAAATTATACCAAAGAAGTTCTCACACTGCTGAGAAAGTTCTAGGCTCCACAAAGATTTCCCAACGTGGGATACAGCAAAGGGACTAATTCCCAGGGAATCTGACTTTGAAGGTCAGCAGGATCTGATTACAGAACTTCCACAGGACTGGGGAAACAGACTCTTGGAGGGCATAACAGAACCTTGTGCATATCAGGACCCAGGGGAAGGAGCAGCGAATCCACAAGAGACGCAACCAGACCCGCCTTTGACGGTCTGAGGGTCTCCTGTGGACGCACCAGTCAACAGCGGCCTGCACGAGTGCTGAGGCGCTGACAGCAGTGAGGCGCGAATTTGCTGTGGCCTAAAATAACAGCAAGGAGAGATAAAAAGGCCTTCCTCAGCGATCAACGCAGAGAAACAGAGGAAACCAACAGAATGGGAAAGACTAGAGATCTCTTCAAGAAAATCAGAGATACCAAGGGAACATTTCATGCAAAGATGGGCTCAATAAAGCACAGAAATGGTATGGACCTAATAGAAGCAGAAGATATTAAGAAGAGGTGGCAAGAATACAAAGAACCAACAGTTAGAACAGGACATGGAACAACAGACTGGGTCCAAATAGGGAAGGGAGTACGTCAAGGCTGTATATTGTCACTCGGCTTATTTAACTTATATGCAGAGTATATCATGCGAAATGCTGGGCTGGATTAAGCACAAGCTGGAATCAAAGACTGCAGGGAGAAAATATCAATAACCTCAGATATGCAGATGACACCACCCTTATGGCAGAAAGCAAAGCAGAACGAAAGACTCTCTTGATGAAAGTGAAAGAGGAGAGTGAAAAAGTTGGTTTGAGGTTCAACGTTCAAAAAACTAAGATCATGGCATCCGGTCCCATCACTTCATGGCAAATAGATAGGGAAACAATGGAAACAGTGACAGAATTTATTTTCTTGGGCTCCAAGATCACTGCAGATTGTGACTGTAGCCATAAAATTAAAAGATGCTTGCTCCTTGGGAAAAAAGCTATGACCAACCAAGACAACAGACATTACTTTGTCAGCAAAGGCCCATCTAGTCAAGGCTGTGGTTTTTCCAGTAGTCAT